TGTGTGTGTGTGTGTGTCACCTGGTGGATTTCCTGCCACCCGTTTTCATCAGTCATCCCTGCAACCATGACAACAAGAATTATTTCAGTGTTGAAGTGTTTTTCTCACAAAAGACATTAACAAAGTTAAATAATGAAAGCAGTCACACACACACACACGCACACACACACTCTCTGGATTGACCCTGTGAGCCTCCGTACCGATGGTGGCGTGGTCCTGCAGCAGTAGTTCACAGCAGTAGGGGGCGCCGCCCACCATGGCAGAGTGATAGAGAGGAGTCAGACCTCGGCTGTCCTTGTAGTCCGGAGACGCTCCGAGGTCCAGCAGAGTCTGAGGACCAGAACAGGACAGGATGTATTCAGAAATAACAATATTAATAATAATTATTATTATTATAAAAAATAGTTTGTTCATGTTGAAGTTAAATTAATAAAATATTATAAACTCGAATAATTGGAGACGAAGTTGGAACCATGATGATTTCTTGTCAAAAATAAAAATTGATGATAAAAACAAAGACATAAAGCTTTAAAGCTTATTCTTTTCCTGAGTTTCTGTCACATATATATACATATAACATATTTATAACGTCCTACTGTTGGATGTTCATATGAAACGAGGCCAAAGTGTCAAATAATGAGGTTTGAAAGTAATCTCAGCTCAGATCGCACTGGCAGGTCAGACAGTGAAAGACCCTGTGCAGACTGCGGATCGAATTTCATGCAACATCGACAGACTAGAAGTCAATCAGTCAGAAGAGATTGACTGACTGACTTCTTCTAGTCTAGAAGAGAGAAGAGGAGAAAGACGTTTTGTTTTCTTTTTGAGGACAAAATACACAAGTAAACAATGGCAGGCAGGTAAGAGGCTTCGCTTATGAGACGCTCTCGGTGGTAGTTTCGTTATCTGACTGCTCTGCTCAGGATTCAGGACTAACTGTTAAATGTTTGTATGCAGAAAGTGTTTCTCTGGTTGTGAAGGGAAGTTACATATTTTCTGGTTTTCAGCTGCTTCTTCGCCTCAAATCTCAGAGATTTACTGATGGACACATTGTTGTTATTAGCTAATCGCTAACTGCTGCTAACGGACTGGGAGCTCGAGGCTCTGACGCTGCCCCGATTGATTGTATTTTATATTATTAATCTGAATCTAAAGAGTAAATAAATACATCACATAAATACAGTAACACTGGGACAAACGCAGTACGTGTTGTCTTACAGTGAGAGAAGCGCTGTTCCTGCAGAGGACGGCCCGATGCAGAGCGGTGATACCGTCTCTGGTCCTGAAGTCCAGGTGAGCGCCTCCACTGCGAAGGACTTTAATCAACTCACAGCTCTCCTCCAGCTGGACCGCCAGAGTCAGAGGACACTCTGGGACACAAACACAACAACAAACACGTTATTATTGTTCCAAAAATAAACCCAATAAACACACTTTCTCCTGTGCGGGGGCTGAAGACTCCCAGGTCGTCCCTTCAGTGTTGGTTCAGGGAGTGTGCAAGTTTTAATTACCTGAGACACACGTTTTACATAATATACTATAAACCATGTTTAAACCATCATATAGGACACAGGAAGGCAACCTGCAGCTCTTTAGCTCCTCTGCAGCGGCTCCATTTTGACAAGAAATTATATTTTTGAACATTTTAACTGATCGTTGTTGAAGGTCTAAAGGTCTAAATTCTTACATTCTCCAATTGTAAAAATGTGGATCATACGTCATGACCTGGTGCTTTTCCCTCTATATATTGCAAAAAATAAAGACGAAGACAATAAAGACAAAATTCAGTGTGGTGAAGCAGCGTGGGATCATGAGAGTTGTTGTCTTCACCACC